GGCCAGGTTATGAAGGACTTTAATAGAGAGGATTTAATGCAGAGCTGGTGGTGAGAGTGCAGAAGGAGGGAAGTATATACACTGGAAAATGACTTGTGGAAAAAAAAGCACCAACAAAACCTTTAAAAAAAATTTTTTTAAGTATTTTTTCAATCAATAAAAATGTGACTTTTTTCCCCTCCCACTCCACCCCCCAACCTTCAAGTTGAGAATCAAAGAAAAACAAAACTCCTATTACAAACATGTTTGTTGTTGTTCACTCATTTTAGCTGTGTCTGACTCTTCATGACATCATTTAGGGTTTTCTTGGCAAAGATGCTAGAGTGATTTGTCATTTCCTTCTCCAATTCATTTTACAGATGAGGAAACTGAGGCCAACAGGGTTAAGCAACTAGCCCAGGGTTATGCACAGCAGCATCTGAGGCAAGATTTGAACTCAGGTCTTCTTGACTCTAGGCCTAGTGCTCTATCCACTGTGACACCTGGCTGCCTCACAAACATGTATAGTCAAGCAAAACACATTTTGGCATTGGCCATGTCCAAAAAGATATATCTCAAACTGCATCTAAATGTTTCACCTTTCTATAAGGTGGGTAATAGGTTTCATCACTAATCATTTGGAATCATGCTTGGTCATTATGAGGATCGACGTTCCTAATTCTTTCAAAGTTCTTTGTCTTCACCATGCTGTTGTCATATAAATTGCTCTCATGATTCTGTTCAGTCTTGCATCAGTTCATATAAGTCTTTCCAAGTTTCTCTGAAATTTGTCCCCTTCATCATTTTTTTTATAATACAATAATAGTTGGTCACATTTATATACCATAACTTGTTCAGCCATCCTCCAAGTGATGAGCACCCTCTCAGATTTCCATTCTTTGCCACTTCTAAAAGAAGTAAAAGAAGTAAAAAGAATACTTGTATTCCTTACCTAGAATTTTTCATAGATAGAATTCCTCCCTTAACTAACCCTTCCTCTAGTTCCCCCTTCACACTTTTCCCCTTTACCTCTTGTTTCCCTGCTGAGGGAAATGTATTTCGTACTGCTCTGTGTGTATATGCATTCTTCCCTCCTATGACTAGTTCAGATGAGAGTGAGGTTCAAGTGTTACCTGCTCCCCTCCATCCCCTCCTCTTTGATTCCTCTAATCACCTCAACACTTTCTACATAAGACCTTTCCTCATCCACCCAGTTATTATTTAATAATTATTATGTATTATTTTTATACATACCTCTGCATGTGTAATCTCCACATTAAAATATCAAGCTCTTTGGAGGCAGGAATCATTTTGGTTTTGTCTTTGTGACCCCACTGTTTAGTATATGTCTTACACATAATAGGTATAGCCCTGAACTTGTGATTTCATCGGTATAGGGAGAGCCCCTGAAAGGAAATGTAACGTGTGTGTCAATGTATCTGTGTATCAGTATAATTTTAATCTTACAAGAGCTTCCTGGGACATAGTGAGATTAAGTGACTTACATAAAGTCACATAGCCAGCATGTGAAAGAGACAGCACTTGGAATTAGCTTATCAAGGTCCCTTCTCTATACACTAGGCCACATTGTCTTATTGAATTAATTAAATTGAGTCACATCCTAAGGAAATAAGCAGATTTTTTTGGCTTTGCTGCAAAATGCAATCAAAGGTATGGCAGGAAATGAGATTAATTCAGTAAGGGGGTATGAGCCTCACAGTTGGTGGAAGATCTTGAAGTTGACTTCAATGCTTAGAAGGTGAAAGCTGTATTTATATGACTTGGAACTTGTCACTTCAGCACTTCTTTTCCACCCCCATCTCACCCCGCAAAAAGGATGGTCTAATGCAAAGAAAATATCCCATTGAATTAATTTTTGCTCTGGACAATGCAAATCTTTATTGGGTTCATAAGGTGCCTTGTATCTAAGGCAGTCTCTTGAGAAGAGAATGCTAGAATAAAGGATTATTATGGAAAGCCACTATGGTGATCATTTAAACCAAATAAATCTTGGGGAATGGAAAAGGCCCACTTCCTCAGAAAGTGCTTATGGTTTTTAATGCAAACATTGAGTGTGGTTTGTGTACAGATGTAAAAGGAAATAGCTGAGGCCTGTGTTTTGGGATTTCATTTTTTTTTCAGTGATGGCAATTCCTGAATTTATTCCCAGAAGGTAAAATAATCTAGCCTAGTTTTGCAAATATGCCACAAGGCCTTAAACTTTGTTTCACCTTTATCATGCCTCAGGATTTAGGAATGGTCAGTGGGGAAATAAATGACCTACCAAAGAATGTGTTGGTACACACCTGATTTCTGAATCATTGCAGGACAATAGAGGTAGTATCCATTTAAAAGCCATTTAAATAAGGAGAGCCATTTAAATAAAGAGATCAATTTTGATAATAAACCCAGGACCACTTTAGCATAAGATTCAAACATTCCCTAGTTGCTGAATTACTCTCTTTACCTACATTCTGTTTCCTTATTTTTATAATTCATATAAATGGATTCGGGAAATTCAGACTTGTGGTGTTTAACTGGCATGCGAAATTTGGAACAAAACTCACATTTTGGACATGTGGTTATGTGTTACCCATGCAGAACAAATCTCAATTTTTTTATGCAATAATAGTACCTATTGGGCTGCATAGATGAGCAACTGAAATAAATAAAGGAACAGGAAATTATTGAGGTTCTCATTTCCAGCTCTCTAGACCACTCTGATGAAAATTACAGAAAATTCAGTTAAAACTAGTAAAGAAACATCATGGTGGTCTTGAAAGACAGCCAGTACTGAGGTCAGGAAGTTTTGAGTTCTAGGCCTGCACCTGACACATACTTGCTATGTAAACATAGTCAAGTCACAGGACCTGACACATACTTGCTATGTAAACATAGTCAAGTCACAGGACAATCTCTGCCCACTCATTTATCATGCACAAGGTACCACCATATTAAGTTGCAGAGTATTTGTTGGTCTGCTTTGGTAATAGGGATCTCCTCCCAGGCAGGGAGCTCCCCACTCTGATGAGAGAACAAGTCCAGACCCAAATAAATAAACAAAATTATTAGAATTCACCTATATTTCCAAATGCTGTGTCCTTCGCTCACAGTAATAGGCAGAATCAGTTTTCTGGAAGATAAGTGTACTGAGAGTTGATGGAGAACTCAAATGTGATTGAGCAGTGAAAAAAGGAAATGTTTTATTTGCTAGGGTGTTCGGAAGATGTTGATGCCTCAGGAGCTGGAGTTAAGATGAATAATGTCTTTCAAGTAAAATATGAAAATTACCAGAGTGGAGATTATCAAATTTTCTGTCAGGATATGGCAAGAAAGCCTGTGTTTCTAACAAAAAAGGAGGCATGTCAGTCAGTCAATAAATATTTATTAGGCACCTACGAAGTGCTAATCTCTTAGATCTGAGTATACAAATAAAAAGACAATTCTTGCCCTCAAGGAGCTTACAACCTAATGGGGGGGGGGAACAATGTATAAAAAGAAGCTGAAAGCAAGGGGAGAAGATAAGTGAAGGTATCTGGAGTGGGGATATGATGAAGTTCAGGAGGGCAGCTTGGTGGGAAATGAAGAAATGGCTGACCTGGGCACCCTCTTTAAATGAAGGTGTTGGGAGGAGTTTTCCACTCTGCTCTCTGTTCGGACAGGACCCAGGTACAGAGGGTACTGATGAAGAATGTGCCTATCTGCTGTGGCTGTTTTGCTCAAGATAAGGAAAAAAAGTTGGAGCATAGGGGGAAATTTTCTTCAAGCAAAAGACCTGACTTAAAGACCCAAATACTTGATACATTTCAGGAATTTATCCCAACTTGTAATAATAAGAAGTTTCATTGACAAACTTTTCTCAAGGAAAAAGAACTCAGGAGTGTCTCTTAGAGGTACAAGGGAAGTGTATTTGGTGCTACTCTGCTCCACCCAACTCAATTGCATAAACCTGATGGCAGAGATTGGCACACCCACGGTCTGCCAAAGGGAAGGTCAGCTCCACCCAGACACAAGGAGAATGGAAAGACAGGCAACATCTCTTCATGACGTTTTCTTTTCTTTTGAAACTTCTAATTTTCTTCCAAGTCCACTAATTTATTATTCTGGACACTGGCCTCCATACTTGCTTCTTTAAATAAAGAAAACAATTTCGAATGGTAAGAGAATTATCAAGCTAGTTGCATAAGCTAGCTCTTCCTGCTACTGTATCTGCAAACATCTAGAAGATTCAGCATGCTTCACTTCCTTGCTTCTCTAAAATTCTTTTGATTTAAAGGAAATAGAAGAACTTTTGTCTGAGTGATCTTTGATTCCTCCTGGCTCCTTCACCCCACACATCCAATAGTTAAGTCTTATCTATTCCACCTCCAATATGCATCTCCTTCCTATTTAAGTTGTCACCACCCTAATTAGGCCCTTATCTGCTCTTTCCTGGATTACTTCAATAGTTTCCTAATTGGTCTCCCTGCTTCATCTCTCCCTTTTCCAATTCAAACTCCAAACAACCAAAGTGAGAGGCCTAAACACAAACCTGACCAAATCATTGTCATGCTCAAGAAATTCCAGTGGCTTCCTATTACCTCTATGATCAAAGAAAAACTCCTCTGTTTATCATTTCAGTCCTTCCCAACCTAATGCCAACCTACCTTTCCAGGCTTATACATTACCCTATTGTCTAGCTCAACTGTAAAATGGGATTAATATTAGCACCTAATTCCCAGGGTTGTTGTGAGGATCAAATGAGATAATATTTGTAAAGCATTCAGCACAGTACCTGGAACATGGTAGGCACTATATAAATATATTGTTATTAGTAGTATTCTTATTAGTATTAATATGGCCTTCTTGCTGTCTTGTCACCAAGTCTCTTTCTCAGGTAATCATCAGGGAGCAGGAAACTTACCTGCCAACTTTAACAGTTGAAGAGTAATGAATCAGCATAATAGTAGAAAAGTTCCAGTTCAGAGGATTCCAGTTCTAGATTTGGAGCCAAGCCTCTGGGATCAGAATGACCAGGACAGTAGAAGACAACAAGCCAAGAGCAATAGTCACCCAAGGAAAAAGCTACTTCAGGGAAAGTGATCCCTAGTGGTGGAGATAAGTGCCAACTATAAATTTCACAAAGTAATCCCAGGAGAGAGCTATATCAAAAGGGTAGTTCCAAAGGAAAAGAGAAAAGAACTTTGAGTAACCAGGAGTTTTATTTCTCTATTTCATAGTCAACTTCTTGCCAACTGCCTTGCTTCCTGGTCCAGAAACAATGCCCTGAGGTATTAAATATGTATTTTAACACTTTCATCTCTGGAACTTCTGCTTTAGTGCCTCACTGGTCAGAATGGTAAGGCCATCCTGGCTGGGGTCAACTATTGCAAGGCCTCTGTCATGCTTCACATCATCTGGTCAGTTGCTTTTCCAAGCCTGAATTTCCCATTCTCAGCCCCCATTCCAGTTCTGGAACCATAATCAAATCAATACTACCATTATTCATAGAATAATTCAATCTAATCTCCTATGGCTCTACTCACCAAACCAGTCATGCTCCAAGCCAACATATGTGTGTGTGTGCACACACATACATATATATACATACATATATGTGTGTGTATATATGTATGTATACGTGTATATATATGTGTGTGTAATTTGATTTGGACATGCATATAGATATATATGTGTGTGTATGCTTCTATGTATTTATAGATATCTAGATATAGATATAGATGGTATTATATTTAGCACTCAGTGCCTCATTTTAGGAATAACATTGAAAAGATAGAGAAGAGGACCACCACCATAGTGCCCTATGAGAATGGGTTGAAGGAACTGAGGAAAAGAGAAGATGGAGTTATCCATAAATATTTAAAGTATTCTCATATTTAGAAGAGGGAATGTGTTAACTTTGCTTGGCCTCAGAGGGCAGAACTAGAACCAGTGGTTAGAAGTACAGGAAGGCAGATTATCATTTATAGAAGAAAAATTTCCTAATAATTATCACTGTCCATAAATGCAATGAGTTGCCGTAGGAAGAAATGTTTTCATCTGCTGGAGGTTTTATGTAGAGTCTAGCTTCTTGTTGGGGCTTTTGTAGAGAGGGATGGAATGGGTTAAACCAGATGGCTTCTAATGTTCCTTCTAGTTGTAAAATTCTATGGATTCCATAAAGATGCACAAGCACTAGAAAGTGAGAAGAATTCTGTTACCACCCCCAGAAGGAAAAGCTACCTCATAGTGGTTGGTGACTCTGCTCAGAGATATGAAAGGAGCCACAGGTAGACATAACATGACTAATAAGAAGGTGTGTTGTCTTTTGTAGGATATATCTAAGATGTGATGAAGCTCCTGCCAATGCTTGTCCAACCAGTCAACATCTATTCATTTCTGCTGATTCATGAGGGACTTATGATACCATATGAAACCTGGATTTTATTACTGGTGACTTTGAAGTCTTGATTGGAAAAAAATACATAGTATGTTCATCTCTTTTTGCCACTGAAAGCTGTAACTTTGAAAGAGAAAAAAGACACATAAAACTATGAAAACCAGATACAACAGAGGACAACAGCTATGACACAAAAAGAAGAATCAGAGAAAAGGAGGCAAATAGCACTTCAGAAAACAGAGTAAAGAAAATCAGATAAAATATTTATGAACTTATATGTTCCCATACTAATGCATAGGAATGGGAAATGAACAAAATTAACTTGAAATTTTAACAGCAGGAAAGTTAAATATAATCTTGTAGATATCCCTGAGATTTGGGAGAATGGAACTAATAACTAAGATATGACAATAGAAATGTATAATTTATTTTTTAAAGAAAATAAGAAAAGGCTTAATTGAAAGAGAAAGCTATTCTCCCAAATGATAAGTAGGCAAAAGATATGAAAAAACAGTTCCCCAGAGGAGAATTGCAAACTGTTAACCACCAGTAGGAAAGATTACTATAGATAACTAATAATGAAGGAAACGTAAATTTTTAAAAACCTGGGACTTTATCTGAGCCCCTGCAAATTGAGAGATGACAAAAATAGTAGTAGTGAATTTTGCAGGGACTATAAAAAGGCAGGCACACTAATATACTGTTAGTAGGGCTGTGACTTAGTTCAACTATTCTAGTCCAAACCATCATTTGGAATGACACTAAAAGTCCAAATGTACCCTTTGACCCTGAGATTCCACTAAATAAGCCAACCCTCCCAATAAGGAGGAGAAGGAAATAGATGGGGCAGAGGTGTGGAGAAGAGAAACAGAGAGGAAGGAAGAATCCCATATTCACTAAAATATTCAAAGCAGCACTTTTTATGGTAGCAAAAATTAGAAAAAAAGTTGATGCCTATCAGTTGGGGAATAGCTAAATAAATGATGGTTTCTAAATATATTGAACTATTGCTATGCTATAATAAATGACAAATACGAAGAATTCAGTGAGACATGGGAACAGTTATATGAACTGATGCAAAATGAAATAAGCAGAATTAGGAAAACAGTTCACACAATGGATATAATGATGTAAACAGAAGGAACAGTAACAACAAAACTGAACTCTGTGCAACTATAATGGCCATGCTTGGCCTCAGAGAAGAGTTGAGAAATTTACCTTCCTTCCCTCTTTGCAGAGCTGAGGGACTTTTGGAGTGGAATATTAAACATTTAATCAACCATGATTGTTTTGTTTGCTGGCTCTCAGTTTTCTTATCAAAAAGGAAAGGAAAGTTAGACTAAAAGATTCTTCTGGATCTTTCTACGTCTAAGATTCTATCATAACATAATCTAAAATTTAGCTACAAAGTAGTAGATACATTTCTAATACTCCCATGAATTTTATTTGTGTATGTGTGCATATATATAAATATATATATGTATATATGCATATATCACATTATACAGTATCACATTTTATACATATCACATTGCCTAAGGAAGTGAAAAGAGCATAATGACAGCTCAGAAAAATGTTATTATATAATTGTCATTAATCCCAACAATTAGGCATTTACCATAGGAGGCCATAGCAAATCATCTTCCCATCACTACCTACATTGATCATTCTACTTTAACACTTTCTGCTTATAAAAATGGACTACAATTACTTACACAACACTAATGTTTCTTTAAAGAGATACCTGGTGATCTGGTCAATAAAGTGGCTATCTAAAGCAGACCTTCTTCTTATCTTTGGGTAGCGTGGTTTAAATATGAATGAAACGCAAAGAGAAAGAATCTTTAGAATGAAATCAAGGGAAGTCCCAGGATTCAAATCCATTTATTCATCCATTTGAGTATTTATCAGGGGCCATATACATCTATTTCTAGGATGGATAGGTAGGGAGATAGATAGATAGATAGATAGATAGATAGATAGATAGATAGATAGATAGATAGACAGACAGACAGAGATGGACAGACAGATAAATAGGTAGATAAATAGATGCATACACAGTGTACTATAGAGATTTATTCATATTTTTTATAAGCAATATATGTGGACACCTTTTTAAATCTAGAATTGAATAGGAAGCAATCATACTGAATTCCATTTAGAAGTTGTTCTGCTTTTTCAATGATCCCTAACTACTCAACACTGCAACAGCCCATCTCTCTATGTAAATCTACTCCAAGTGAAATTGTATGGCTATGAATTGTAGAATATAATCTCAGAAAGATAAAAGTGACAAATAACCTAAAAGACGATGAGAAGGTGAATAGTTGGCATAAGCAGGCTGCAGCATTTTACCAATCAGAGAACATCCCACATGATAAATAAATCATTCAATTTATGGGAAAATATGGACAAGTCACACAAGATGAGAAGGTGTGGATGGAGTAATGATTTGCTTCAGTGGAAGAAGTACCCACACTGATGAAGTTATCCAAATATTATGTGCAAGGACCCTATTCTTAGCAAACCACTACTACTTCAACTATAACCTGAAGAACTAATCACAAGATGCTCATGGCTAAGTGCCCAAGTTTCTTCCTAATCATTTGCCTAAATTTTTTTATCCAATTTCCAAGGATTTCATCCCCATCAAGTATAAATGTAGGTGTAAAAGAAAGCTAGTTATCAACTACAGTCTTCACTCACGTGCTTTTATTTTTCAGAGCTATTTGTGCCTGAGAATTTGAAAATCATGGTGATACCTATCATATGATTAACAGACAAGTCAACAAAGCATTCACCAGAAAAGTATGAGCCCTTTAATGTCTATTTGTGTGTCTTCTCTACAAGTATGTGTTTCAATACCCAATAAAGTGCGTGAGCAATTAAAGGGACTTAATCATGCATCAACAATTAAAGTACCCCAATGTTTACCTTTCAACATAATGAAATTCAACAACCAAAAATCATATATTTTTTCATCCTGAAAGGCCCTTGGATAATAGATATCAGTGACATCTATAGCTGATATAATAATAGCTAGCATTTATATAGAACTTCAAGGTTTGCAAAGTGATTTACAAATATTATGTTATTTTATCCTTACAAGAGACCTGGAGGAAGGTGCTATTACTATTCCCATTTTACAAATAATGAAGCTAATGTGCTTATTATGGGATATTAATTCAGCATGGTCAAAGAATTATCCGTGATAGCTAAGTAATATAGCTGGAAATCAATGCTATTTTCTTCTTATATGGCTTCTTCCCACCTAACCACACTTGCCAAAAGTCTGGAAAGACACTGTCCTATAATGGATGGACCTTAGATGTGGCATTATACCCTTACATGGAGTATTGATTAACAGATCTTGACTACTGGCCTCACCACGCTTCTCACTATCAGGTTTTGTGTTAGCTTTTATAGAACCAAATGACTTTCAGCCTGGAAGGACTTTAGAGGTTATCCAGTCAACCCTCTTTCATTTTGCAAATGACATACAGGACAGATGCATATGCACACATATGTTCCTATATATGTATATTTTAGAAAAACCTGAAAGAGTTCTTAGAACAATTAGTAGCAAATGTTACTACTTGGTAACAGTTGGTCACAGTAGTAGAGTATATCTTACATGCAGATCCCTCAAATTTCCTGTTTAATTACCTTTTAAAAGGTAATTAAGGAAAATTATATAAAAATCTTTAGTACTTAAATTTTATTTTAAAAGTCCTTGAATATGCATTTGTCATATTTCAAGGCTCCATCTATGTCAATAATCAAATTCCCAGTATATTTTGAACCAAACACTAACCAGTCTAACTCCATTTCGCTTCTTAGAATAGATGAAATAGCTTGCCTAGGGTAGTATGGCCAGAGACATACTGTGTGACCCTGGAAAAGTCACTTAACTTCAATTTTCCCCAAATAACTCTCTAGGATTTATCTACCAATCTGTAGATGTGTTGTGATCTGTGTGGGCAAAGGGAGTTCCCACACAGGGAATTCCTCACAAAAAAATCAATTTGCTCTTGCATCTTTCACACAGTTCTGTGTACTTAGATATTTCAATGCTAATTTGATTGTTACTGCCCCTATGTCTTTGTTCTTTTAAAATATTTTTGAGTAATTTTTACATGCAATATGCCATGCTAGAAGCTATACAAGATACAAAGAAGAAGATTCAGTTCCTTTATGTTCTCATAGAGCTCAATTTTGCAAGGGAAAATATCACTGGCATTTAATCTGGTGAAAATGTGTATATGGTGTTTGTGGGATGGTAAGGAGATTGATCTGATTGGACCAGAGGTTACCAATTAAGAAACAATGAGAAATGATTTGGACTGGTGGGATAGGCCATTTTAAATAAGATGCTGAAAGTCAGATCAAGGAGTTCATATCTGATTTATAGGAACTAAAGACCCAGTGGAAATTTCTAGGAAGGGAGTTCTGTGATGAAAGCAATATTTTTAAAAGTTTGTTCCATTCATGTTATGCAAACTGGATTACATGGGGAAGATACTGATACCAGGGAAGCCAGCTATGAGTTTATTGTAATAGTCAAGGCATGAAGTAATGGTGATGGCAGTGACCAGGAGAGAACAGGACAGATGCAAGAGCCACTTCACAAGGAAAAAAAAAAAAAAGAACTTAACGACTACAAGTGGAAAAAGTAAAAGGGAAGGCGGTGATAAGTCAAAGAGAATAGCAGCTGACATATATATAGTATCTTAAGATCTGCTAAATTCTTTACTTACATTACCTAATTCTACCTTTATAACATGGCAGCTAGGTGGCTCAGTAGATAGGGTACCAGGCTTGGAGTAAGGAAGACTCATCTTCCTAAATTCAAATCTGGTCTCACACATTTACTAGCTGTGACCCTGGGCAAGTCACTTAACCCTGTTTGCCTCAGTTTCCTCATCTGTAAAATGAGTTGGAAAAGGAAATGGCAAGCCCCTCTAGTATCTTTGCCAAGAAAAACCTAAATGGGTCATGAAGAGTAGGAAACAACTGAACAACAACAACCATTTTAAGAACTTTCTACAGATAAGGAAACTCAGTCTCAGAAAAGTGAAGTACCTTGATCATGGATCACATTGCTAGTTGGTGATAAAGACATATTAGTAACCAGAGTTCTCCTAAATCCAGGTCCAGTGCTCTTTTCACTACACCATGCTAACTCCAAAGACGACTCCATATTTTTAAGCCTGTTGGCAGAGACAGGAAAAGTTGGGAAGATGAGCTAGTTTCCAAAGGGAAAGTGATGAACTTGGTTTGAGAGAAACTGAGTTTGAGATGAGGATGAAATATTCCAGTGAAAATACCCAATCAGAAGCTCAATGAGTTGGATGGAAAAGAACTCAGATGAAGGAACAGGATAATATATATGGAGTTGCAAATCATTGGGATAGAAGTAATTATGTAGCTAAAGCCATGAAAAGCTTCACATCACATATAGCATGAAGAGAGAAGACACAGGACTGAGTCTTGGGGAATACCATAGTCAGGAGATGAGAAGGAAGCCAAGAAGGAAATGAAGAAGAGGTGACCAAAGAGTAGGAGGCAAAACAGAAAATAGAGTTCTACAGAAACCAAGAGAGGACAGAGTTTCAGGAAAAGGAGGTGGTCAGTGGTGTCAAGTCTAGGAGAAATGAGGTCAAGGAAAATGAGGGAAGAGATTTGGCAATAAGGAGGTCATCCAAGTTTCAGCAGAATACTGGGAACAAAAGCTAGATTACAGGGGATTGATAGGGTTGTTCTAGTTAGTTCCCTAAGAAAAATCTCAGGATAACCTCAGTGTCCTTAATTTATAACAACAAGAAGGCAGCCTGCTCTGCACCTACAAGATACCCTGAAACATTCTTTATGTTTCAGAATAAGCTGTTTCATTTTGCAATTATAACCAAAGACCACATGAGACATTTATTTCAAAATCCCCATGGCTGGGAAAGTTGTGGAAGGTCTTAGAATCCCAGTGAAATGTTTTCAGAAGCATTTTCTACTTCCATTTCTTGCTTATTCAGAATAATATTTTCAGCCAGCTCTTTTTTGTGTTGTCTGCATTCTGTCATTGCAACAAAGGAAAAATAAAACAGCTGGCCTCTTTCTTCCTGCTTATGTTTTTGCTCTTAAGTGTCTCAGAGCTGAAATGGCACAACACGCCAGCTACATAAACATTGTAATCATTATTATTATTATTATTATTATTATTATTATTATTATTATTATTACATCAACTCAGAGTTTTAGAAAATACTAAAAGTTTTCTCATAGCATTGTAGAGCTAGAACTGCAAGGGCCTTAAGAATTCAGCTACCGCAGGTCCCTTGTTTTACAAATGAGGAAAGGGAAAAATTGTGAGTTAAGCAAGGTCATGAAGGTGGGAAAGCATTGGGCACATTCTGAGAATCATAGTTAGACCAGTTTGTCTGGCGTATGTGAAGGTAACTTGACAGGGAAGACTAAGGGATAAAATTGAAAAGGAATTTAGGGCCCAGATAAGGAAACTGAGGCCTGGAGTGGCTAAGTAATTTTCCCAATACACAGTTAGTAAGCATTCTCTTTAGCTTGATTCATTCTAAAATTTCACATAAATCAGCGTTATTTAGCAACACCCAATCCTGTCTTCCAAATCTTTCTTTCAATAAAGTGAAATCAAATAGCTAACCATCTCTAAAAGTCACAGAAACATAAGTTCACAAAATTATAATTTAGAGGTGGAAGACAGTTTTGAGATCATATAAGGGTCCAATCCCTTCCTTTCACAGACAGAGTCACTGAGGCCTAGAGTGGTCTCACAGGTAGAAAGCATCAGTCTTGGTACTCAGATGTGAGGAGTCAGCACTAGGAGTTCCAGGGGGAGAGGTGACAGGCAGAGGTATAACCGGGGTGGTATAAATGGAGCTTTACCCCTAAGCACTGAAACTTAGAGAGTCTTTCGGTAATGTAGAAATAACTGAGTATCAGTGACTAGAAACTGAGGATAATATGTTAATATAGAAAATTACCTCCCTCTAACCCCAGGTGGTCAACTTTCCATCAGCAGCCTTCTGGCAACACTACCCGCCTCCATGGCCTCTTTCTCTGGCTGGTGAATTTCTCTCCCCTAAACTTCCATTTGAGGAAACAGTCATAGCAAGCATCTTGCACTCTTCAAACGCAGACCAGCCCTCATTGCCCCAGACCACTTCTCCATCCTTCCTCACCTTCCCTAACTCCCCCCATCAGCACCTAGCTTTTCCCTTCTGTGTATTGTCTTTCCCCCACTAGATCTTGAGGTCAAGGTCTGTCTGTCTTTTTGTTTGCATTGGTATTCCAATGGCTTAACACTTAACTTGGTAATATACCCAAACCTAATTAGACCATACAAACTGAAGACATCCAAACAAAAACCTTTAAGTATTTTACTTACAGGTATAACAAATGCTTGATTATATTTTGAAAAGGAAAGAGGCATCAATAAAACAAACCTCTAGTAAGCAAACATGCTGTAAGCCTGGCGCTGTGCCAGGTATTACGGACTTAAAATGCTGTTGAGGTGGTCAATAGACATAACAATGACTGATGACTCATTTCGAGCTTACAGTCTACTAATCCCTTGGTTTTTTGTCTTTGTTTTTTCATATGAACTATTACCAAGCTAGGTCTTCCTACCCTGAATTTCTGTAGTTGCTAAGTATAAGGCTTTACGTTTGCTCTTATTTAATTTTGTTTTCTTAGTTTCAGGTCATCTTTTCAGTCTGTAGGGAGATCTTTGTGGGGCTTGTATGACCCTGACTATTTCTTCTAGTTAGATCATATAATGGTTAGAACATTGGGCTGGAGTCAGGAAGCCCTCAATTCAAATTCAGAAACTTATTA